TTTTTATTTTTTGCAGTGCTGGGGGCTTAAACCAGAGCCTTGTGCTTATGGTAGGCAAGCATTCTACCACTTAGTACACCCCAAGTCTCAGTTTTTTAAATTATTGATTTACTTCTAAAAATTATTTGTTAAAATTCCCAGTTTTAGATACATAGTGACAATATTTCATTCATATCCAGCAACCACTATATCAGAAAGCCACCAGGAACTAGGATGTGAGCCAAAAGAAGAGGTCACCTGCCCAGCTAAGGTAACTGCCATGACGGCGGTGACTGCAGCCACGACTGTCCAGGCCATGGAGGAACCTGGCCTTAAATCAGAAGCTTGTCCTTCTACGAAACCCATCGGGCCCTGACATTGCTTCTCCTTCCCAACTGCAGCAGCTCAGAGAGGCGGGGTCTGGCGAGGGAGAGCTGGAGGATACAGAGAAAGGTGGGTGGTGGGGTGGCTGACCACGGCCAGGAGCGACAGCTACAGAAGCCGGCGGAAGGAAGGGCAGAAAGTCAACACCAGGCAGACGTCCCAGGAGCCACAGCCGTCTGGGCAGGAAATGGGTGTGGGAATGACTGGTTCTAGTCTCTGCTCTTCCATAACTGGACGCTTTTGTCAAGCTACATAACTGCTCTGTGCCTCTGTTTCCTCTTTCTCATATGTAGAAATGGACAACAGTTAGGGTGGATGGAGGAGGGATGGGGAGAGGATGGTTAGTGGGCACAGGGGTGCAGCTAGACAGGAGGAGTAACTTTTTTCAGGGGGGGTGGGTACTGGGGATTGAACTCAGGGCACTTGATCACTGAGCCACATTCTAGCCCTATTTTTTATTTTATTGAGAGACAGGGTCTCACTAAGTTGTAGTACCTCGCTTTTGCTGAGGCTGGCTTTGAACTTGCCATCCTCCTGCCTCAGCCTCCAGAGCCTCTGGAATTATAGGCATGCACATCAGGAGGAATAACTTCCAATGTTCTACAGCACAGCAGAATAAAAACTAAACAATTAACCATATACTTCAAAATAGCTAGTAGAAAGAATTTTAAATGTCCCCAACACAATTAAGAGATATTTATCTGATGTGGTAGATATGCTGATTACCTTGATCTATTATATACTCTACACATGTACTGAAATAGCACACCATACCCTATAAATATGTACAATTACTATACACTAATTAAAAATAAAAATATATTTAAAATATGGAATGAAGGTGGAAAGAGTTAATACACCTCTGAGACCCAAGTGCTCATTAAAATACATATGATATTCAGAATGATTGAGGGATACACTTAATCAGTTTCTACAGCATTCTAGTCAACAGTGGTTACAATTAGTAGAAGTGGGTGTTTAAGAGGTGAATTACCACTTAGTCCTGATGTTCTCTGATGGAGAACACCTCTGCCCTCCTAAATGTCAGACCTTAGGAACTTAAAGGCTTTCTTCCTGCAAAAACCAACATTGCTATTTAGGCCCACAGTCAAGCAAGCCTTTTCTCTGTTCTCTGGGTCATTCTTTCAAATGTTCTGAAGAAGAAAGACCAGCTTCTCTGAGGGGTTTCAAACCCCTTCTCGTCAATCTCCCAATTCTCTCCCCGCTCAGTGGTGTTTTAGTAACCCAGAGTCTTGTCAACGGCGCGGCTGCTGAGACGACCAATCCAAAGTGCCATCCACAGAACACAGAGGTGTGAACCCAGCCCGCCAGTGTGCGGCTGTGCCTGGAGCCATTGCATTTCGAGGACTCTCTGGACCTGAAAATAGTGAACTGGGCTCAAGGGTTCCCTTACAGCCCTGATAATGGAGGAGCCTAGGATTCACTCATTCATTCATTTATTCAAGAAACATTCATGGTCTATGGGATACCAATAAGGCACCCCTGGAATTATAACCCCACTGGGTGCCATCACCACCACCTGACTCTATCCCAAGCCTCTCACTGCTACTGCTTGGGTCCAGGACTCTGTCACCTGGAGACTGGAGTAGTTCCCCTTGCTGGTGGCACCCTGCCTTCCTCTCTCCAGTTCACCCCCCTCACACTACTGGTGTCTTCTTCCTACCACACAAAATGTCACCCCCTTACCCTTCAAAGTGCTGGACATGGTGGCATGCACCTGTAGTCCCAGGTATTCAGGGGCTGAGGCAGGAAAATCACAAATATGAGGACAGCCTCAGCAACTTAGCAAGACTGTCTCAAAAAAAAGGGGGGGGGCAGGATGTAGCTCAGTGATAGAGTGTCCCTGTGTTCAGTCCCTAGCACTAAAAAAAAAAAAAAAAAAAAAAGACACCTATAAATTTCAAGGTAAAGTTCAAAGCCCCTGACAGGATGCCCTTAGCACCACATGTCTGGGGCGTGGTGCACACGCAGAGACCTTTTTACCTTACACCCCACAGGACATGCCGGCCACCGCCACTTGTGCACAGGTCTCCTCCCAGAAATTTCTTTTTCTTTTGCTCACCAGAAAAATGTCTACAGACCCTCAGTTCAACTGGACTTTTGGGAATGCCTCATTGTTCCCTGGTGTGGACTTATCATACAGATCACTGGCCACACTGCATTCCTTCTTTTTATCTGGAGATCTTTCTCCTCTGGGACTTCAGACCTCTTTAGGACCAGCGGGGAGTGCATCTGTCTTCATCTCTGGCACCCTGAGCAAGGCCCTACCTGGTAGGTGCCCAAGGAGTTCCTGGGAGTACCTGGCCGTGAGCAGGCACTAGATACTCAGAGGGAAGATCCATTCTTGCAGTTTTCCCCCTCATTTCACCTCTGAAGTTTCCCAAGCATTTGAAAATAAACAGTGAAAAAATCACTTCCTTGCTATGTCAGAATCTTCCCCAGATCTCAACTGTTGGTTTGTTTTTTAGTGTTATATAACTGAATGCTGATGCAGTCTGAAAGGAATCTTGTTATATAATTCATCCTATTCTCTGAAGCTCACTTTTCCTTTTTAAAAGCCTTTAGCAGGGTGGCAGGGGATCTGAGCACCAAAGGCCTGTGTCACTGGATTGTCCCTCTCCCAACCTCCCTGAGGCCTTTTCAGGATTCACCTGCCTGAAGGCGCCCAGGGAGGCCTTCCTGGACCTGGGTGGCAGTTGTCCAGCCAGACCTGGGGACTCCAGGGAGGAGGGGGCTGCCTTTGGCGTCCTTCTCCAGCGGGGAGCTGCTGCTACGACCCGACCCGCTCATCAGCTCTGCTGGAGCAAAGACTGCCAAGCCAGAGCGCTGGTCGGTATTGTTTTTCTAACAGCAGGGCTGTTATTACAAGTGTTCTGGAAGGGAGAATAAGGAAGCTAAAAAGAGATTCCACAGCATCTTAAAAATAGCCAGTAATATGGGAATTGACTGACCAGCCAGCCAGGCAAAGATCCGGATGCGATGGACTCGGCAGGGCGGTTTTGAAGCACTGTTTGGCCAACTGTCCACCCACTTAGCACCTCCTCCCACAGATGGCCAGGGTGGATCCCTTGAGGAAAGGCCAGACTGCTGGCCAGTTCCCACCTGGGCTGCAAGGACCCTGCGCTTTGAAGGCGGGCACTCCAGCCCCAGAAGGAGAGCAAGTGCGCTCCAGGGAGGAAAGCCGGGGAGGGACTGGGCCAAGGGATGTCTGTCTATCCGTAAGACTGCTCCCAGCAAGACCTCCCCAAACTGGAGCCAGACCTGCACCCAGAGAGGCAGCAGAGTGTTAGGGGGGACTCGGTGGGGACGCGCGGGGAGCAGGCGGGCAGAGGCGTCGCGCCAGCGAGGGAGGCTGCCAGGGACGCGGCGACCGAGGCCCCGGTGCGGGGAGGCACACTGGGAGGGCGGGGCAGGCGCCGAGGCCTG